TCAGAGAAATAAATTTGCATGTGAAAAGTCGGTGTCAGTGTCCAGTGGCATTGATCTTGCGGCAATTAATGCAGTTCGTATTGACAAAACTGTCTGGAATTTTCAGTCGTATACAATGAAAAAAAAAGAAAAAGAGAAAAAAATAGCGAGATAAATCATGAAGTAATTTGTGATTTTATGTTTATTGTCTGATTTAAATATTCCACTACTTTGTGCATTGTATATTCATATAAACAAAAGCCTCTCTTATATAAAATGTATGTACTTTTTCGTTTTCCTTTTTCTTTTATTTGTCTTTGATATAAGTGTCGAAAATGTCAAAATAGAACAGATTATTGACGAAAAAGCTTTCATTACTATGGCAACTACCGGGTAGGGACCAAAGTGAATATTTGGTCCTAACTCAAATAATGGAAAAAAATATATAAAATTAAAAAAAAGAATAAACATTCATATATGTTGTTACTCCGGACTCAAAATCCACTTTTTGTTATGGACTAGTAGCCGTTATTTCACGTATCCTTGCGTGAAGCATTTTGAGGTTCTATAGATTGACAATTTGAAGATGTGTGCTACAACGGTTTAGGATCTCATCTCATCGGCTAATTCGCTTATATCAATGCATTCGCCTAATTTCTCTTGATATTAATCACAAGTATCACAGTCCCTTCGACAACCCGAAGGGCCCGTGTGCGTGTATCCCCTGACACTTCATAGATAGATAGGTTTACAGATTTTATCTTATCCCTTTTATTGTCATCCTCCCTCCTCCTCCTCCCTTCCCCCTCCCTCTCTCTCCCTCTCCCCTCCCTCCTCCTCCCTTCCCTTTCCCTCTTCTTCCTCCTTCCTTCCCCTCTCTCCTCCTCTCTCCCCCCTCCCTCTCCCTCCCTCCCCTTTCCTCCTCCATCTTTCCCCTTCCCTCTTCCTCCTCCTTCCCACCCCTCTTTCCTCCTCCACCCCCTTCCCTCCTCCACCTCTCTTCATTTTCCCTCTTCCTCCTCCTTCCTACCCCTCTTTTCTCCTCCATCCCCCCTACCTCCTTCTCCCTTCCCCCTCCTTCTTTCCCTTCTTTCCTCCTCACTTCCACCGCACCCCTTCCATCCTTGCATTATTGCTAGACCCATTGGCAACCAACGCATCTGCGTTATAATACCAATCGTGGACCGCACTGTTATTGGCAGTGTCTGATCTTAATACGCTCTATATATTTTGTTATTATCAATTTTGTTTAGGTAATCACCGTCATCGGTCATAACCATCGTCACCGTTATCGTTATCACCACTACCACCCTCTTCCTCCTCTTTCCGATCCATATCATCATTATCACATAGTAATGGTATCAGCATCCTCGTCGCACTAACCAGGCAACTACCTCTTCCTCAGCGGGACAACGCCTCCATCGCCCGCCTGAGCCAGTACTCCTTCCCCGGCCTGAGGGAGATCACGCACCACCTCCTGGTGTACCGCGTCTTCAACCTCACCTCCCTCAGGAGGCTCTTCCCCAACCTCGCCGTCATCAGGTAAGGCGCCGGCCGCTCGTCTCGGCTGCGGCGGTTCGCTTGCGACTGCGCATCAGCTGCGGGGGGCCGTGGGAGGGGGCGGTGGCTTGAGGGTCTCATGGAGGACAGAATATAAAATGCACTATGTACATATACATACATACATACATACATACATACATACATACATATATGTATATGTATATATATGTGTGTGTGTGTATGTGTATGTGTGTGTGTGTGTGTGTGTGTGTGTGTGTGTGTGTGTGTGTATGTGTGTGTGTGTGTGTGTGTGTGTGTGTGTGTGTGTGTGTGTGTGTGTGTGTGTGTGTGTGTGTGTGTGTGTGTGTGTGTATTTGACATCCAAAATCTTTAAATTATGCAATATATTTTTAATGAATTCTAATATTTCAGTATATTCTACTGCGTGGACTGTCCTGCGATGTAAGATACAATCAAAGTTAGACAGAAATCAACAGCTCTAAACCCTAGAGAGATAAAACTGATTTTAAAAATTCGTCATCGCCGTCGTGTTATCAGGCCTGCCATTCCCGCATCTCGATTCCAAATCGCCCCTTCACATCTCGCGCTGATTAAATGGACCGAATAAAATTTACGGTCTTTTCGTCTGCTTGGCGTCTCGACTGTCCTTAAGCAACGAATGCCGCGAAAGAAAGAGAGAGAGAAAGAGAAAGAGAAAGAGAGTGGGAGGGAGGGAGGGGGAGGGGGAGGGAGGGAGAGGGAGAGGAAGAGGGAGAGGGAGGGAGAGAGGGAGTGAGGGAGGGAGGGAGAGAGAGAGAGAGAGAGGAGAGAGAGAGAGAGAGAGAGAGAGAGAGAGAGAGAGAGAGAGAGAGAGAGAGAGAGAGAGAGAACGAAAGAGACAGAGAAAGGAAAGAGAGAAAGAGAGAGAGAGAGAGAGAGAGAGAGAGAGAGAGAGAGAGAGAGAGAGAGAGAGAGAGAGAGAGAGAGAGAGAGAGAGAAAGGAGAGAGAGAGAGAGAG